GTTAGGATTCAAAACACTTTTCATTACTTTTCTCTCTTCTCTCTCTCTCTCTTTTTGGCGGGCGTTTTGGGGGGGGGCGACCGCCCCCACCGCCCCCCCCTGGCTACGCGCCTGGGATCTACCGACTTGATCCACTCTCTCCATCTTTGTTATAGTCCCCAGGACTTTTGAAGATTATCACTTATGAGGTTATGAGGTTATTGATAATTGATATAATATTGGATTATCTGTGTGTCATATTGGCGTGTGCGCGACTGTATCTCAGAGAGTTATCCTATATCTAGATGTAGTATTGTTTAATGTGTGAATTAGTTTACCTTCTGCAAGCTATAAAATAGCTTAACATTCTAAATTAGCCTAAGCAATGCCTGCCTTCCACTACTTAAAGCAGTAGTAGAGCTAGGAACGATAGCCACCCTAGAGTTTCAGATTTTAGGTTCCTGAACTATGGCTGATGGAAAATAGCCACGGTGCTTATACTTTAGCAGCAATCAATTCAGCTTACCAAAACGGTTAGGGAACCCAACCTCCAAACACGATTAATGACTAGTCAGCCAGAGAATGCCATCTGGGCACATATATAATTATATAGTGTTTAAGTAATTGACCTGACTTCTTTGCACCTGATGGCATATTTAGGCCTATTACATAAATTTTATTTACAGGATTTTATTTACTCAAATCCTTTTGAAAAATTCAGTTTGATGAACTTCCACAAATACTAGATGTGCATTTTACCCAGCTGAAATGAGTAATAGTGTGTGATATCATATTGATTCTATTTAGAGAAATGAAATTTTTGCATTAATTAGCGGTAGCAGAGTCACTTTACATTAATGCATATTCCTTGAGTTTACTAGCTACCCATTGTGGAGAGAAATGACATGATTGTATGAGGTATACTTTGCTGGTAATTAAATGTGCACATGTATGCATATTTGTAGTGTTTTGTACAGTGGTTTAATTTGGTTCTAATAGATGAAGTAATGATTTTTAGCTCAGCTGACGAAGTCAGATGCAGCTTGTAGAATTGCATGAATGTCCGTCCGTCCGTCCGTTCGTCAACAGTTATGGCACAAATCTTTACCGCTCGATGTACGGTCTTGATATTCGGGACGTTGGGGAGGATCGCAAAAAGGATTCGGCATTGCGAATTTGGGGGTCAAGGGTCAAAGGTCAAGAGGTGTCAATTGAGGGGGAACATTTCCCCCTTAACTTAAAGCCCGGCGCACACGTGAGTAATTTTACTCAAGTAAAATGACGCATGAGTCATTTTACTCACGCGTCATATTTTCAGCGTTTGCCGCAAACGTGAGTAAAATTACTCAAGGTATAAGTGGTAATGCAGATCACGTGAATGTGCGCAGCCAATACTGGTCGCAGTCGTCTTTAAAATGATTTAAATACATGCGCTGTGAGCACCAGTGTTGAGTAAATTTACTCGGCGCGCGCACACGTTGAGTAAAATGACGCATGAGTCAAAAATTATCAAAGACGTTTGATATTGAGTAAAATGACGCATGCGTCAAATTACTCAACGAAAATCCGCCGCACACGTGAGTAAAATGACGCATGCGTCAAATTACTCAACGAAAATCCGCCGCACACGTGAGTAAAATGACTCATGCGTCATTTTACTTGAGTAAAATTATTCACGTGTGCGCCGGGCTTAAGGTATAGGAGGAAATAGGGATTTGCGGCACAAATCTCAACGGCTCGACCTACGCTCTTAATATTCGATATATAGTGTGATGGGAAGGAAACCCATCACCAGCCCATCATTGGAGGTCACAGGTCAAAAGGCCGTGGGGGGAAAGGTCAGATATCATACATTTTCTGAGGACATAGAACGGACCGAGTGCAAAACTTTTTTGTTCCATTTTTATCACTTTATTGAAAGGACCATGAAATGTACTTTCCGCTGACATGCGAAGAGTAAGTGTCTGATAACATTTTGAACCTCAAGAGGAGGGTTAAACATGGATTTGTTGACTGTTAACAAAGGACTGAACTGCTTTTGCTATTAGAGCCCCTTCCATCCGCCCCTCCCACGTATAACCGCGTCCGGATAATCTGAAAAGGCCGTGGAACCAATGGTTCTGGAAAATCGGTGTTGTACCTGTAAATGCAAACGCGCATATGTTCGCAGCTCTATTATGGCTTGGCTCTGGCATTGTTCTTTCTTTGCCTCACTCTTCTTTTTGGGGTGCACCCACTGCACTTCCAATTCACTTTTCTCTTCTTCAAGAAGTTCTCGCTGCCTTGTATTCCCGCACAGATGTAGTGGAACCAGCGGTCGCAATTGTCACAGCAGATACTGTTTTCCTCAGTTGCAACAGGGTGTGCTTGGCACACTTCATCACACATACCACATGGATAGTCCGTGTTTTGAGTGGGCTCACTACTTTCTATAGCGACCAACATGCTCTCCATTGCCTTTTTCACAGCTCTATCGATTACGCCTTTTTCGATATTCCTTGTGACAAGTTCTGGTACTATTCCTTTTCTGAAGAATAGTTCCAACTTGGGGCGGGCAGCTGCAATATAATCCAAATCTAATCCAATACGTTCAACAAACAAGCTATCAGATGCGCTGACTGTTCTGACAACAAAGTCACACCACTGAAATTCGCTTGTCCACAACTGCATTTGCACCTGGGCATAATAACCATGCGATCTCTTCAGTTGGGTTAGACCATTTTCGTTACTAAGATAACTACCCTTCTGGCACGCAAGATCCTTTATAGGCAAGTGCCTGTGGGTGTATGGATTCTTTACTTCTAGGAGACCCCTTCCACACTGGTTACATGAAACAATGCCATCTGGGGATGCAGCTACATAGGGACATTGAACATTTACCCACAGTCCTGTCTCCTCACAAGACACACCAGTATGCTTAGTGTGTAACCGGTGATGGGCAATGTACTGCTTTCGTGCTATGTTCTCGTTGGTTTTCCCCCATGTAAGGGCCAGTGACTTTGGGTTACCATAATAGCCCATTACCCGCGCAATGTGCGATTGTCCGGATACATTTCCATCTCGAACACTGCCTATGCAGTCACCTGCAACACTAGCCGTTATCCTCCCCTTTCGATGATCTGCCCACAGTGACGAAGATGCTTGTCTTGAAGTTGCTTTGGCTAATACCTCTTGCTGGTGTTTGTTTGCTTGTAGCAGCGTTATCATTCCTTCTGCCGTTACACCTTCCTTTGACTCTGATAGAGTCTTACGTGCTTCAATCACAGTTAGAACAGGTACACACGTTTCCACAGTTTCATGTGTAGCACATACTGTGACGTCTGCCTCTTGGTGGTTAGGGTCCATTTCTTGCTTTGTATGCACCAAAAGTCCACAATTCCCATTCGTAATTGATGCAAGCCAATCCAACTTGAAAGCTGAAATTGGCTTGTCCACGCGATGTGCCGGTATACGTGGGTCAAATTCCGAGCGATAGGTTTTTGTGCTTTCGGTGCCCTGCTGCGATACATCCTCACGAACACCTACAATCTTAATCTCTTTTACAAACTGGGGTGGATGCAGCGCTTGCCCCTTCTTCGGTACTGTCCCCCACACTTGTTTCTGTGACGTAGACGATGCAGTTCGCCCTTCCTCCACCGCTTCCACAACAGCAAAAAGGAGAGCTGCTATATGCTTACATGTAGCCTGGATTCTGCAAAGCAAAGGGAAGAACATCTGTAAGTTAAAGGTGCACTGTGAGATCCCAGCCTCGTTCCCATGGTTTATCTGGTCGAACACAAGATTTTGGTATGACTAGAGACCTATACTTTTGATGAAATAAAAAAGGGGGTTGCAAAAATGTTCGTTCTATTAAAACTACAAATCCTTATAAAGTGAATTTTGAAGGTGAGGATTTTTGATAACAATGTTTAATTCAAAGACAAAAAATTACATTATAATATCTCCAGGAAATTTCACAGTGGACCATTAAAAAGCAAAAAGGAGAACAATAATTAATTTGTCAAACCCTAGTAACATCGCCTTATTTTTCTTTTGTTGTTGTTAATGCAAGCTCTTTATGATTAGAAACGAAGGTAAATTGAGAGTTGATAGAATGTACATTAGTTCCACAGCTAAGAAAACAAAAATTTACCCGATAATACAAGAACATTCAGCAGTATAGACTTGGCCTGATTCCTTCTGAATAACAACCCAGGTGTGATAAGCAGGTTCTGTTGTTTTCTGCTGTGGAATAACCTATAGGAAAAATAAGTAAATCAGCTTCTGCAATGTAAGCAAATCAGTATGTGCCTAAAATAAATACATGCCAGTGTTTTACCATACTGATTATAGTTACTCATACCATCATATGTTTTTGTTATTCTTTTTTTAATTCCCAAATTTAATGATTGCTACAGCCTATTAGCACCCTTTTGAGAGATAATTATTTACTTATGACAGACAATTGGTTCTAACCTTTCCTCGTACAAAGCAGTAGCTCAAGTTTGCACTAATGCCATGGTATTGAAGAGCCCTGACGTGTCCCGACATGAAGAGCCCTTTACCAAGAGCAAGTGTCCTCTTTCCCTCCGTCTTCTCTAAGCCTATCCTCCGATTGCCTAAATTTCACATAAATAGAAAAAACATTTTGTCAAGCATTCAGTAACTGGGTCAGTCTGTAGATTTCACCTACAGCAAAATTCCCAGTTGGCCTACACCCATTTCCCCTACTCCCAATTCGTCTATGCTTAAAATCTACCCCATTCCCATTTCGTCTACGATCGGTTTGTTCACAAATAAGGACGAAATGGGAATATTTCCGATTCTGTGAGTAGACGAAATGGGAGTACGCCTACTGGGATGTGACCTTAATTTAAACGCAGTGGCTATTTGTACCGATCGGCAAAAATAATTCTGGAACTACTACTACAACTACTACTACTGTAATATTTGTTTACGCCAAACTCGCAGGTAGAGAACGACTCGGCTCTCATCCGAGAGTAGCTTTATAATACTGTGTTCGGGTTATCATTCGATCGTTCTATCGACGCAACCTGACGCCTTCTTCTTCTTCTTCGTCGTCGTCGCCTTGAATTCATGAAAACGCATGAACCAGATGTAGCTAAACTACAGCACTGATGTACCACCTGAAAAAGCTATCAGAACATGAATACATTCAACAATAATGACCATGTATTAACCACTAGCTGCACACGTTGTAATTTGCTAACTGCAGAAACAATATGAGGAGAGCTCTCAACTGTTATATAAACAGAGAGCATCAGCTCAGAAAGTAGCTGCGGTAGATGTCTTGTGGCAGCAATCGTGGCTTTCATGTGTAGTATCTGAACCGTGTTATAAAATAATCTCGAGATTCAATGTACTATCACACTAATGCACTAAACTAAACCCCCAGAGAGTCGTTTCCAAATGTGCCAGTGTAATCTATAGCCTCTTGTACAACGTTAAGTTTTATTAATAAATATGGTAAGACAACCGACAATCGATTACATATAATGAGGAGTAAATAAAAAGAAACAAGTCTGACATGAGTTTAACATAATTATAGAGTTTCCCATGTTTTTACTGACTTTTTTCGTTAAATTTTGGCACCAATAAAGACGAACGTATATATACCCCCACGTTCTTGAGCTTATTTGGACCACTAATTATTCACCTACCTTAATTGCACTGAAATTAGTTTACAGATCTTTGCTGTCGAATTGCTCTAAATTGTCATATTGCAGATCTTTTGTGATGCCATCTGTTTAGATAATTCTAATAGAGCGCAGGGTTACCAGGGCGCCTAGCTGTGGCAGAGCGAAGGTCTACACTGTCAGAGCTACTTCTGACTAATAGCTCTAGTACTATAGCCCGCGTACATTGACTGCCTAGCCAACGCAGACCCCAGTAATGGGTTAAACCCGCACCCTCAGATTAGCAAAACGGAGTTATAACGTCTGCGTGCGGACAACTTCTGACTATACTGTATACACACAACACCTACCTAACCCGACCAGGCTGTGTGACTAACGTCAATACACCCTAGGGTATTGCTAGGGTATTGCTACCCTAGGGTATTGCTAGGGTATTCTAACCCTAGCAATACCGTTACTTGGAGCTACATACCTAGCAAGTACAGCAGACGGCAGACATCGGTGATCAAAGACATGAAAGGGCAAAGATTTTTTAGACACTAACCTAACAAATTACACGGTATGCGGTGCGATGTTTGGTAGCAGTATGTAATGACTAAGTAGGCCTAATAGTTTTCTTGCTAACGTCTAGGCCTACTGACTGCGGCGCGAAAAACAAGCCACTGCGCTTGTCTACTAGAAGTGGGTAAGAATAAGTCCCAGAAAATAACTACTGCATAATTTAAACTTGCCGGCTTTGATGTAGCTATCTAGATTATCTCTAGAGGTATCGGGGAGACTTGATGGGCCATCTTCCCATCCATTTGTCAGCGTTTCAGGCCGTGGCAGGCGAATGATACCGCCATCGAGCACCAACTTCTCGCTTTTATGATGTTGAATTGCTTGCTCGGCTTCTTCATCCGTTGGCTTTACAGGTAAACCGAGCTTTTCAGTCCAGAACGCCTTCTCAGCAAGCTCTTGGTGCTTCTCTTCTCCAATGGGAACACCCCTTTCCCTCAAATATTTCTTTAAATCGCTGGATTTTAATGACAAAAAACGCCTAACTTCCCTCAAATCCGCCATCCTCACGTATAGTAAACACAGCTGTGTTGCCGCTTTTGCGTCGATCGTCTGTGGTTGCCCCCTTTTCTATCCCATCATGCTTTGCGGTGGGGCGCCATCTGGTGATATTTATCGATTGGCGATAAGGCTTATATGACTGGATTATGAGTCGTTAGATTCTCGCTCGGCACTACGTGCCGTGAAACAGTCGACGTAAGCCGCGTTCACACGGACGTTTTTGGCCCGAGCCTAATTAGGCCCGTGCCAGATTTGGCTCGAGCCGAGCGTTCACACGGACGTTTTTGGCCCGAGCCTAATTAGGCCCGAGCCAGATTTGGCCCCATCGAAAACGTCAAACCAGGCCCGAGCAAAATTTTAGCACCAGCTTTCGGCGAACGGTAGAGAGGTAGAATCGGTTGAGCGGTAGATGCCGCGAGTGTCAAACGTGTACTTCGATGAAATAAAGTCCAAAACAGTATAAAAATTCGCCATACGACATACTGCCGAAGTATCTGTGAGATATTTGTGCAATAAAATTTATTTGAATTTGAATTTGAATTTGA